GTATTTAAATTTCATTTTTGTATTACATTTTAAGCTCCGCGCGCACTGCATCGGATCGAGCCGGCGAGAAACGGCGAAGGGATGACTCGACTATCGTAGATAGGTAGAGGTAGGAATCTGACCTCTACAGGCCGAAATGTTTTAGTGGACGCCGGCGCCGTCTATATGTACGATGGTCGCAGTCGCTTTTGCTGGTCGGTCCGATCCGATGCAGTGCGCGCGGAACCTTATACGTATACCTCTATTACATTTTATTAGTACCTTACTAACTTGTATGCATTAAGTAGTATTTTTTGCTTAAGTATTGCGATGATTACGCACTACACGCACATCCTTCCGCTTTCACAATCATGATAATCAGTGATGACAGTGATGTTGAGAGTAGGGCAAGCAAAATTCTTATAACTTACACCATACTCACATGTATGTAATGATAATATTCGTTTGTTGTGATAATTACGCATTCTAAAATATTGATTTGGTAGATTGATCAACAAGATTGTTGAACATCGGTTTGGAAAAATAAATAGTAGGCAACAAACCAAGAGAAAAATGACTAGGTTCAGAAGAAGATAGCAACATGTTCTTTTCTAATTGTCAATATGAGTTTCGTATTGACGCAAATATTGATTCATTGTCAAACATAAAATATAGGATTTCTTTTCATTTCAATATAAACTTTGCCAATTTTATGATTTGAGGAAGGTTTTGACTGTATCTCTTCTGGGATATTGCTTGAAAACTGATATTCTATAACTTCGGTAGAAATAACCTGAGGTAGTGATCGTTTGCAGATAGTTAGAGTTGACGGTGTTTCGTCAGCAGAGAGGGAAATAGATACAGGACTACCACAAATATCAATTTTAGGACCAGTACTTTTTAATATACATAAATGATCTACCATGGAATGAGTCGATTGGAAGTACCCTCATTGCTGCCTGCACAATAGATGCTCTAGTATATAGTAATCTCATTGAAGCTAAAATTGAAAGGGAGACACGTACGTTTGCGAACTTATGAGCGGTTTGTTTCAAACAAACTGGTTTCAAATGAAGCCTAAACAAAACTATAATATTTGAGTTGGCAATGATGAACTTGGCCCACATGGAATTCCCATGTGGGCAGAACAGAAGAGATATTGGAACTTGTAAGCAGAATATTTTTACCTAGACAACAATTGCCGGTTGTGTTTCCACAAAAACGTTACTTTTTCTTTATCTCAGTCAGTCATGGCCCACCGTTTTTGCAATTCAGAGAAGAACCGTTAGAATACTTGTCGCAATGGACTAGCGGAATGCTGCAGGGCTCTTTTGAATTTTCTTATTTTTTTATCCTTGTGAGGTTCATTTTGTTTGTCTCTTTAATTTAAATGTATTCCTTTTTTAATTACTACTGATTGTCAGGACTATTTTAATTATTGTTTAATTTGATTATTATTACTATCTTGTGACCTGAGTAAACACCAATAGAATTATAATAGAATTTATGTTAATCCTTTAAGTGCATCAAGAAGAATTCCTTTAATCCATGTTATTTCCCTTATTGTAATAGGTCTTTTACCGTTTGTCATGTTTATTGCGGTCTTCTTCTTATTCCTCTTTTTGAGATATTTACTTCCTATATTTGTTTTATTTATCTTTCATTTGTCATCTATAGAAACTGACGCTACCACGATTTGTCTGCCTACTTATATATTCTAACCTGATTGTATCCCTAGGTTTAGCTTATCTTTGCATTTCTTATTTTGTCTTTTCTCGTAACTTGTTTCACTCTTCCAAGATATTTCATTTTGACTGCTTGTAGTATATAATATTATACCTAGGCTGCTTTGAAAATATTTACTATAGCTGTTTTGTTCATCACAAATGAATATGAAATTAAACACTCTAAAAACTAAATATCTACCTATTGGTGCAGAATTATCTAGAAGAAATAGAAGCTTGCCATCCCTATATCTATCTAGGAGTAATATTTGATACAATAGGTAAAGATGATAACGAGATTAAAAACGAATAACACAAGCTAGAAGAGCAATTGGCTGTCCGAATGAGGTATTTTGAAGTAAGGAAATAGGAAAAAAGAGATGATTAATATATATCAGACCCTTATAAAAAGCAGTCTACACTACGGTGCACAGGCATGGAAAATAACGGAAGCCAACCGAAGAAAACTGGGAGCAGTAGAAATGGATGCCTACAGAAGAACTTTAGGAATTTCCCGAAGAAACAGAGTTCTAAATGAAGAAATCCGACAGAGGATAGGAATTGAATGATCTTTGGCAACCGACCTCGAATGCAAACAACTTTTATAGTTCTCTGGACATGTACAAATGATGGAAGATACCAACTTCTACAACGAGTTATACAATGGATATTTTAAGACCGAAGAAAGCGTGAAAGACACAAGAAGACTTGGAAGGAGGATATCAAAAGCGATGAGTGCCAGAAATTTAAGTGAAGGTCAATGGAATAATTAATCGAATGACATGGATGTTAGGTATCGGACAACGTCGCAAGACGTTCTAAACCAATACAGTATTATTGGTTTCCTTTTTGTTGAAACAATAAATATATTATTATACAAGAACACTAATTTATCAGTTTTAGTTTTTTTTACTGTACCATTTACGATAAATATTTCAAAAATACTAATTATATGTATATCGATGTTCCTCAAATTATTGCATTATTTTTTTAAGTTTAACAAATGTTACACATTTCACATTGTTGATTAAAATTCCAATATGTTACCATGATAGGATCTCAAGGTCTTCAGTTCCGTTATTTACTATATATTACTAAATTGTAATAAATAGGTTTGGTATAAAAAGAATGAAAATTATTTGTAGACTTTAAACTTTTAAACCCAACGACCATTAATGAATTGCTGTTATTACAGGCAATACAGAACAAAACCACAAGTCATTCTTTTATGTTGTAGATCCGGTCTATTCATTTTTTTCAAAGTGGAGCAACTACTAGTTGTTCTACGACTACAATATAACTGTATGCTTGCTATTTAAGTATTGTTATGCTACATTTTTTAAAAATCCATTCATCAGAAAATATCAAAATAGCACGCCAGTATTCAATAATTATTATGAATGTAACATTGTGCGAAAAGTAATATTTATAAATCCTTTTCTTGGTGCAAAAATTTTGCTCATTCCGAGAAGCGGCTTTCGAAGCGAGAAGATTTCCTTCCATCTGGCATCCATCATCCATGTTTTCTTTGAGTATATCTTTACCATTGTGTTCCATGTTTTGTTGATGTTCTCCACATTTTCCTCTTTTATATATAATAGTTTGTTTTGTTTCGCTTGTGTTTGTTATCCGCTATAAATGGCCCCACCAAGTGAATTGTATTGTTTCTACTAAATTCCAGCGTACACTGTACGTAGACCTAGGGGGTATCTTCATATTTTTAGCCGACCATACCAACAGGTGTGGTAGGCTATTAAGATCGGCAAAAAAATTTTCTTTTAATTTCACTCAAAATGAGTTATTTGGGTCATAAATGACCTAAATACAATATATTTTCATGGTGTCTGTCTGTCTGTCCGTCTGTAACACGATAACTCAAAAACCGCTAAACCGATTTTAACCAAATTTGGCACAAAAATACTGTGGCACCCGAGAATCTGGCCATTAGTTTTTGGTGGGGGTGGGGGGTTGGCAAGGGGGTATGGGAGGGGTTAAAAATTTTAAAAAATCGTAACTTCAAAATTACAGTAGCTAGCGAAACGCGGTTTTCAATTTAAGATTAGGAATAATATTTGCAACAAAATTTGTAACAACATCAAAATCAGTCAAAGTCGCAGTTTTTGAGATAAAAAAAATTGGAAAAATTCCTTTACTTTGAAACTAAAAGAACTGCCTACCAACTTTTTATTAACATATTTTAGTATGGGCGGCTATACGTGCCTCCCGGCGCCAATTTTTTTAGTTCTTATTTTGCCCTTTTTAGTGATTTCCCTGACTCGTCTAAAAAGTTTTTCGATTCGATTAATTTTATTTTACTGCTTTATCATCACTAACCCGGGCCTCAAACGTGATAACTGGTCTATAGATTGTCTTTAAAACATTTAAAGGGTAAGTCACAAAACTGACTTTTACAGAGAAAACTCATTTAATATTGCCAAATATTATATTAAAGATACCAAATCTTCCTTCAAAGTCGAAGATGCTGTTGAGACCAAAAATTTGGACATTGTTTGTTATAGGTATTCAATAATTACATTTTATCAAGTGTTTGGGACTTGGTATTCTCAGCAGATTAAGTTGATTACTTGAAAATTCCTATAAAATGGACATGGTTGGTTTCCCCTTCCCCCTTCATTTATTCTTGTTATTAAATGTTAATTAATATTTCATTATTTATTTTTGTTTATTAATAACAATAAAATCTATTATATTTTCTGGACACTGATTTATTCTTGAAATAAAATTGTTGTTTAATAATTACAAACCTTTAAAATAACCTTAAAAATAAAACAAAAATTAAGATAGGTTTCCTACTGTATTTGCAATAAACAGTTAAGGAAATGCAAATTATATATCGACGTTCTTCAAAGTATTGCATAATGTTACAAATTTGACACTGCTAACTCAAATATTATACTAGTATAACATCTCAAGGTCGCCGATTCCGTTATTTACTATATTAAATTGCCATAAATAAGTTTAGTCAGATAAAAAAAATTAAATTGATCTGTACACTTTAAACTCTGATCGTTAAATAATAGCAAGAAATATGGAACAAAAAACACAAGTCACGCTTTCAAGTTGTAGATCCGAACTATACATTTTTTGCCAAGTTGAGCGACCACTAGTTGGTTTATTACATAACTGTACGCTAGCTATTTAGGTATTGTTATGTTTTTTTTTTGTCATTTTTTAAACCCATTCATCATGACAAAACACCACGCCACTGAGCGCAATAAATGCTTTTTTTCATTAATTTTTTATACACAACATGTAAATTGAAATAAATTAACTTACCTACCTTTAAATTTAATGATAGTAGATTTATTTGAAAAATATATCACAAAAACACGTACTAAATAACTTGTAACTAGCACCGCACTCGCGCGTGTATATTAATTAATAATTTTCGTTTATATGTTGAGATAATCACGCGCATTATTTCGCTTCCACGATCATGCTGATGATGAGAGAAAGCAAATTATCGAAACTCCCAAATCGCGCGACAGTCAGCCGGCAACTGTTTGGTTTGGCGCACGAACTGAATCTTCTACGCACGCTAGAATTAACCCGCGTGGCTTTGCGCCAAAGCGCAACCGTATCTTCGTGAAGATTGCGCCGCTATCGCTTTGCAAAGAAGACCGATAGAGTTGTCCATCTTGAATCATTGTATTTTTTCGTGGTCGGAATTTTAATAATGGCGATTTTATTTTCGAATTTTAATATTCCCAGACTTGTTTATCAATTATTTATTTAGTGAGTTTCGCAGAGACTTATGTGTAGAAGAGTGAAAATGTTATTGTTGTAGTGAATTAGCGAATGTGATTTATGAATGATGGTTTATATTCAAACGACTATGTCATAATTCAAAGTGTGGGAGTAACAAGAATCTAATAAGTATAGAATCAATTAAATTATTCTGGGTGCCGGGCCACAGCGGCATCCAAGGCAACGAAAAAGCCGATGAGCTAGCTAAGCAAGGATCATCGGTATCCTATCTTGGTCCAGGGCCAATACTGGGAATACCCCAATGCATTAAAACTCTGGATCAGGGAAAAGCAGAATGTCCACTGGAGAAACAGACAGGGACACAGTCTTTATTCAATAACTAGCTCTAAAATCACAAAAAAAGTGCTAATGCTTAGCAGGAATAAAGTGCGGATTACAACAGGCCTTTTGACAGGACACATGGCTGTCAAGTGTTACCTGAACAAGCTCAACCTTTATCAAGGAAGTATTTGCTGCAAACTCCGCGTTAAAGATCCTGAAACAGTGGAGCATATAATATCTCTAGATCGCAAACGACACTTTTTAATTGGGAAAGCTAGGCTAGAACCGGAGGAACTATGCTTCCACCCTATCAAGGACCTGCATAAATTAGTGCATGATACAGGGATATGAGAAAGGGTGCAGATATAGAAAGAGGACAAACACAATAATAGGCCTCACAGGTCGCAGTGTTTCCGACAGACGACGGCCTTTCCGACAGAGGACGTTATTGAAAAAAAGAGAATCTTTCTTATATTAGATTCTTCCTCTAGGAGATGCAATTAGACAAGGTCGGTGTTCTAGTCAGCTGGCTGGGCCCAAAGAGCATCTCATTCTTTTGTCCCTGGCTGTAATGTCGCCAGGGAATTCCATCAAGACAATGCCGGATGGGTGGGATGGCACTACCCTGTCCGTCATACCAGGCAACCTCTACTGTCTGTAGTCATGTATCACCAGAAGAGGGTGTGGGGGGGACTTGGTTTAACCGTAAAATTCTTTTTTTTTGGGGGAATTTTCAAAGTTAAATAACTCCGTTATTTTGGACTTATTTGAAAAACGATAAAGAGAAAATATGTTTCTTTTATCGAGATCCACCCCTTAAAATACTTGCTCTTATTTCTGAGACACCCTGTATCGATTTAAGTAATTACGAAGATTACTTGGCATGGATTTAAATCATTTAAATTTTATGTTGAAATTGACTTAAGATTTAAATAATTTTGATTTTAGAAATGACTTAAAACTTAAAACTCTTAAAGTCTTTTCGAAAGTGAATTGTTGCAACTTTGATAAGAACTATAAAATACTGAAAGTTTAATTCCCATGAACGATACTTCTTTCCTCTTTTTACTATATTTTGCGAGTACCTACTACTGTAATTACAACTTCCATATTGTTTAAATGGCTACAATACCGTTTATAATATATTTTTATAAATTATAAGAAACATAACGCCTGCCACTGGTTTATGACTACTGGGTGACTATAAACCGATTTATTACTTCGCTTTTCAAACGAATAGAGTTACGACAGAAGGGTAGTAATGATAAAATAAATCTAAACCTCATTACTTTCAATACACCTAAGTCTCAAATAAAACTACTGTAAAAGTATTACATAATATTTATAATATGCATGAAAGCTTATACAGGGTCCGGCAATAGTGCGTCGGCAGCGTCGGGCATCTGGAACTCCTAGAATAAAAAACTTGGAAATTCTGTTTAAGTGCAAATCTAAAGTATATACTAGGATGTATTTAAGGAAAATATTTTAATTTCTATAGAATGGCTCAAAAAAGTGTAAGTGGATCGGGATAATTTTTTTTAAACGGAATACCCTGGATATTATTGCATTTTTGTCTTCTCTTCAGATCACTTTACATAATCCTAAGATATGAGTAAATATATTTCAATAGTTTTAGAGATATTGTTAAGTCGGAGAAGCGAGCAACTAAACCGCAACGTGTCAAGAAACCTGACGAATTCACCAGAAAGTAAAAGAAGTATTACAGAATTCTATAGAAGGTTTCAGAAACAGTTGGTAGGGGTATATAAAAACCCGCGCTCGGCTGTTGTAGTTTAAAGTTTGATAATACCGCGTTTTAAATTGTGAATTAATTGGCGAAGGTGCCATAAATTGGTGTTTTATAATCAGTATAAATTGTGTGTACAGAGTGAGAGAAAAATTTTCAGCCTTTCTTAAAAAATTATTAAAAATACAAGAAATGTCCTAAAATCAAAACTAATTTAGGTATTTACTATTACTATAAATATGGTAATCATAAATCACACAGGATGTTCAAAATTCTACGCCAAACTTTCTAAAATATAAAATAATTTCGCTTGGTTTTTTTTGAATGAAACAATCTGTATATTATTTTTTCAGTATATGGAGGAATTAAAAAATGAATATTTTTTGTATTTAGAGTATTTCAAAATTTTTAACGGTTTCGCAGATATTCGTGGTTTTATATTTCATATGGCAGTGTCCACAGTAAATTTTTATCAAACCTACCCAATGATTTTTCTCTCGTATTTTACCGTTGAAAGAACCATATGAAATAATACTGCGTGTATCTGCGAAACCATTAAACATTTTGAAATACTTTAAAATAATAATATACCTAATTTATAAAATTATTATATTGTTTTCTTTTATTAAATTATAAAATAATATTTTATAAATCTCCATCCAGTAAAAAACAATATACAGCGTGTTCCATTAAAAAAAAACAAAGAAAAATTATTTTATATTTCAGCGCACAGCGGGGCAGAGCTAAACTAAATCTCGGACAGGTTGACTAGAGGCGTCTGTATCGCCAGCTACATCTCAGACAGGTTTTGTGCCAAGAAAAAGTCGATAAGGTAGCGCATCTTCTTATTTTTCAATCAACGATAATGAGATGGTTGTAGACTGGTAAAGAAGCGTCATATAAGATTAAAAGTATTATTAGTGCTGCTTCGGTTCAATCTGATTATAGTAAGAAGAAACCTATTGTCATCTAGATAGATATAAATTGAAGATTATCGAAGTGGCATTGGTAATTGGTTGATGCAAGAAAGATATTATTAACTGATAGTAAGACTAGATTTTGTCAGGTAAAGCAAAAATTTATCACTCTTGTAGATAGGTAACAAGTTTCTTATTTATTCGATAAAGGTAATGTTCAGTTAAAGCCAGATCACATACCATGACGAACTCTTATAATAAGTTTTTTTTCAAGTATTCCCTATTAGGTATAAGAAGATAATAAGGTAAAATTATTGCTTTGGACTAAATTGTCCGGTAAAAAACGATATAGATCAGAACTGAATGCTACTGATTTTTTCTTGTTATACATTTTTGTACTCGCATTTGTATAAGTAAAACAGTCTATTTCGTAGATAAGCGAAAAAAGACTTTTCGACAATATTATCTTTGTTCTACTAATAAAGGATAACTAAAACAAGACCTGGTTTGGAATGTGGATCAGATCTAAAAGTTTCAGTAGCAAATTTACGGAAACTAGATATGAAAAAAGCATGTTCAATTCCTCCTACCATAGAAATAATGAGAATATTAAACTCGTTTAGATTACTGTGTTCATTGAAATGACCACAGTAAATCTGCATATGATGTAGGGTAGATATATATTAAAATATATTACCCCGTATTATTATATTATGACAAACACAGCGTAGAATTAAATTTCTATACAGTGTGGGCCACTGAAAACTTACAATGGCTATAACTTTTAAACCAAAAAAGATACCAAAAAAATAAAAAATACCGTTTCTATAATATCGAAGGGACATATGACGTATTTTTTGAACCACCCCGACCTACCCCTAAGACGGCACCACTACTTACTTGAAAATCTTAAATGGCAACACCCCATTTGTGGCGCCTTTTTGGAAGGCCCATGAAAAATGCTAAACGGTGATCATAAAGTTTTTAGGGTGAAATTGAAAAACTACCCCTTACACGAAAAATTAAGTGGACATAATTGGGACACAGCTAAATGAGGTATTTTTCAAACCACCCCAACCCACCCCTAGGTGCCACCCCCTCACTTCTAACCTCAAGATAGCGATACCCCACTTGTGACACCTCTTTGGAAAGCGTATAAAAAATGCTGAACGACTGTCATAAAAAAGAACGAAAAAAATGGAGCTAAAAATAAAAAAAAATGTCAAAACATAGAATGAATTATTTTTGCATTCATGTACCATTGCGAAAAAAAACTGGTACAAAAAAATTATTATAACTCTTAATGAAGGCCTCATACACCTTCAGCAAGATGGAGCCCATCCGCATTATTCTATTGCTACAAGGCGGTGGTTGGATAAATATTATCCAAGGCAATGGATTGGCAGAAGGGGTCCAATCGACTGGCCGCCAAGGTCACCTGATCTCACTCCTTTAGACTTTTTCTTGAGGGGTTACACTAAATCCATAGTCTACAAGACAAAACCAGGTTTGTTGCAAGAATTGCGGCAGAGGAGAACTGAAGCATGTCGAAATACTCCGAGAGAGACTTTCCAAAAAGTGAGAGAAGAATTTGAAAATCGTTTGTATTTTTGTATGGAACAAAACGGCTGTCATTTTGAGCAATTGTTAAAGTAAATTATCATTTTAAATTTCTTTCAAATTGTCACACCTACATTTCTTGTCACTAACCAGTAAGTTGAAGTCTGTATGACCATCGTTTAGCAATTTCAATTAGCTTTCCAAAGTAGTGTCACAAGTAGGGTATCGCTATCTTGCGATTAGAAGTGAGGGGGTGGCACCTAGGGGT